CATTGTTATTTAACATTATCTTCACATTTCACTCTCTCTCTCTCTCTCTCTCACACACACACACACACACATATATATATATACTTTCTTAAATGATAACATCTCATTATCCATTTACCCTTCACTCTTATTTAATCTCCCCAACAATGTAATTATCATATTTATATTCATCTTACTATATTTTACAAGAACCTTTCCTTTATATCCAAAACCCTATTCAAATATTTTACCACCAAGTTCCATTCCCTTTCTGATTTTTTGTTGATTTTTTTTTTTTTACTAATCCAAACTGTTAGTTTGTCCATCTCTTTTAATTCCATACCATTCTTCCATGGTAGGCATTTTCTCTGATTTCCAGTTTTTTGCAGTAATCTGGCAGCGGTTGCTAAATATAGGACCATTCTCCAGTATTTTTCCTCTGTCTCTGAGCCCAAAAAGGAAGTCCTATTTAATAAATATAATTCTTGGACAAAGGGATAGCTTATCTCCAATATCTCCTGCATAGTTTTGTGTATTTTAAACCAAAAATTTTTAATTGCAGGAAAGGTTGCTATATTCTAACCAGATGCAGATTACATCAACTGAAGGACCCTAGCAAATCTTGGTGGTATGATGCCATCAGTCTGCACCTGGCTATGAGGCATAGCCAAATGCTTCTCAGATCCCATCCCCTGTTCTGCCATTCAAGGGAGCTATCACAGAAAACCTTGAGTCCTGGGATGGTGAGCAGCGAGGTCTACCAGAGCTTTCCATATGAAATTTGTATACAACTCTGAACAATGAGGATCTGGTCCATTATTTCCCCCATTGTCCTTTCTTTGGCTGATTTAATGTTTGTTACTTTCTCACTTAAAAAAAAATAAGTTCACTCCCTCCTAGATGCAGGTTTCACTGGGAATAGGAGACAAATCTCACATGACAATCTCAGAACTTCTTGCTGCAATAAAGCCTTCCCCTCTGCCATCTGGAGCATAAGTAGCTCTGGAGGCTATAATTAAATGCAAGGCTTGGAAGGGTACTACTAAGTAAGCACAATAAGATCCCTTTCTGAAGAAAGGATTCCCATGACAGAGACTTTAAATTCCAGGTTGATTTGACAAGTGGCACCTCTTCATTAAGTACCATCTTAAAGAAAAGTAGTCAGCTGGGATTGGCAGGAGTAAACAAAAAGATCAGGACATACTGGTACACTAAGACTGCCCATTTCTATTTCCTCTAAATCTGGTTCCTTGAAAATCTCACACCTACCTTAATTTTGACAAAACACTGGGTAGTTGAAGGCTTTCACAGCCAGGACCCATAGGTTTCTGTGGATTTTTCAGGCTGAGCTCATGTCCTAGACGAATGTATTCCTTCTAAAACATGGAATACATTCTTCTAGAACATGGCCTCACAGCCCAAAAAAACCACAAAAACCTATAAAAACACTGCGTGCTTAGTATTTCAAATATTATGGTCTAGTCTAGAAGAAAAGATCAGAAAATAAGCTTGAGAAAAATATCACGTCATAAAGTACCTACAATGGGTAACTATGAACATTCAGCAAAACACATGGAGAACAACAAACACAACAAAAATATTCAATGACTGTAGTCCTGCCCACCTTTCTCCAGAAGTGTTTGCCTCAAGGTTTTTGCGAGTAGGACTCTAACATTGGGAACTCTATCCGATGCCAAGTGTAGTAAATGGGGCAACAGATGCTCAGCAAACTTGTCCATTGGCAAACAGTCATCTTCTATAATAGTCTGAAAAGATGAACAAATTATTTTAAATTCCAACACACAAGAAAGCAATATGAATTCAAAGAGCAGTCTACAGATACTGCTGATTAACATAACTAAGCAGAAAGCTAAGCCAAAAAATAATATAAAAAATATGTACCCATAACCTCTATTAAGGACCCCCCCCTTTTTTTTTTCCTTT